ATATTTTAAATTACAATGTTAAAAAAAGTAAATTTAAAATACAAATTAAATTTATAAAATAAAATATTAAAAAAAAAATCGAATCTAAAATTTTTTTGTGAAAGAAAATTAAATTTTGAAAAAATAATAATTTAAAAAAAAAAGTTAAATTTCTAAAAAAATTAAATCAAGACTTTGGGGTTGTTTGTTTACCTCTTAATAGTTCCATTAAGAGATGAATCTTGTTTGTCAAAAAAAATGTCTGTCTCTTAATGATTCTAAAATCCTTTGAATAATTTTGTATCCTGAAGCTTTCCTTAACCATTAAGTGTCATGATTTCATTGTAAACAATTACCAAATAATTATACTTCATTTTGCACTATATCATGAAAGCTTCTTAATCAATATGACAATTTAATTATTTTGTACAAAATCATTCAGCAACTGCCAAACAAATCCTTCGTTTACAAATAAGTCCTTCTAAAAGTGGGACCCATCAATATATTTTATTTATTTATTTTTGAAATTAAAACTTTTTTGTATTTGCATATAGGTCGCATCAGGATAATCCAAGACTATTTTGTTAAATTTTTTAATTTTGGAGTTAAAAGTATAATTTCTCTATTTTTAAACGTCAGGTTCCCGGTTATTATTCCTGAAGCATCTTGGCCCAAAAACATTTATCTTCATCGTATTCAGATTTTTTTCATCGCTTTATTCATTTTGGAACCCTAGCATTAACCATTGCGCTCTTATTGTTCAATTGCATAATTGGTATGCTGAAAAGTTAGTTCTTTACATGGCAATCTCAGTTTCTCAAGGTTTTGCTTGTAGAAGCCAACTATCTTTCCATCTCCCTCTCATCAACCGTCTTCACAAGGTATCCTTTCTCTCGCATTGCTCCCTACCGCAATTTGAGTCCGAATCTAGAGATTTGTGAGGAGCTTGCAATCTAATTCAAATATTGATATCGGAAGTAAAGTGTACGTCTTTTGGGAACATGCAAATATATTGTCGTAAGTCGCAACCTTGGGATATATTGGGGCATTTTTTTTGACTATATGATATGGCATTTTCTTAAAAACAGACATCGATATGGAACGTGTTTTTTCTTCCTTTTCCTTTTTCCTTTTTCCTTTTTCATCTCTAATTATGGAACTGACTGATGGAGTTATATATTAGTATGTATGTTTTAAAGCATTTAAACTAACCAGTTCGAATAATTTCTTTCGACTTTGCTTGAATCATAGGCAAGGCGGAGCTGTCCTGTGGCAGCTATTGGGTCACTGGTTGAATCAGTAAGTGTCCGTAACGAAGATTTTCAGATTTCAACTGCTAGAAATGTAAAAGGTGAATGCTTTCTCTTTGTCATCCCCAAAGAATTAGCAAGGTTCTGGATCATAGTTTTTCATTTATCCGAGGTTTTATCTGTGTGATGATAGGTGGCAATGATGATTGCAAGCCACATCAATGGAAAAAATCGTGTTCCAAAGAACTTGGAATCAAGACTTCAAAGATCACAAAGCCCGCAAAGTTTGTTTTGAATGTGCTTAGGAAAAAGGGTACATTATATGTTCTTATGTGCTTCATTTCTTTTGTAGAAGCCAGTTAAAGACAATCTGACTTCGTATAAACACAACATTGATTATATGCAGTGATTTATAGTACTTTAAATGCCTTGAAGTTAGTCGGGCTCAGTCATGAACTAATTGATCGGGCTGAAAGTTCTAGTTCCTTTTTCTGGCAATCTTTTATAGACTTCACTGTTATCAGTAATTGATGCTGAATAGTCAAGTGAAGCTTGTGTGGGTGGCTACTGGCTAAAACTACTATTTGGGACAATGAGTTCATTGTTCCTACTTCCCAATGCAATAGCTATAGCTAATGATGAATTTTGACTTGGCTGGAGGACTTATAGTTTTTAACCATCATATACGTGCATATGATAAGAAACCAAGATGTGTAGAAAAGAAGAGGGGGGGGGTGTTACTTGGGAGCACGGTGTATTCATTGTTTTAAGATGAAAGCATGTAAAGTGGTCGTAGTAAACCGCAATAGTTTTGTTAAAAGCATTTAAGGACATATAAATTTTTGTACACTCTTCATCCCTATTGTTTACATACATAATGCCTTCGGTCCCTTTTGTAACGCCTTTGATCCCTTGCCCTAACCCGTTAAAAGAAATTTTGTTATTAGCAACATTTTAATTCATTACTTAAGGCAGACTTGTTAGGCTTTGTGGATTATTTGTTCTGTTTCAATTTCCTTCACTTTAATGTCCCTTGCATGAGAGGAGATTTATATCAAATAAACCATTAAAATGGGGTTACATACTTTCCTAACCCAATGGAGATGGATGTTGATTTTTGGGGAGTATTAACTGTTTGAAACTACCAGAATGCATCATTATTGGCAACTTCAGTTGTTAACACGTCAACATTACACATATATCATTTGTATATGTCTACTTAACGTTGGATACTTCTTTTCATTGCAGGGTATGAGGTATACCTTGTTGGAGGGTGTGTAAGGGACCTTGTATTAGAGAGAACTCCTAAAGATTTTGATATCTTGACATCTGCTGAACTTAAAGAGGTTCCGGTTTCCAACTAATTCATTTCTCTGCTTCATCATGGTCTTTTATAAGTTGGTGTAATTGATATGCCCACAGGCATAATAAAATCTGTCATTTGTAATGTTCAATCTTAACTATTTTTTTTGGCTCTAATTCTCTCATGTCATTCATGAAACATGTTCAACAATTTGTTGGAAAGCTTTTGTACGAGATTCGAATCACATGAGTTGCTTTTGGTCTCTTACATCCTGCTTTCCTCATGATTTTCATCTTCCAATGGCCATTTGAGTACCCATGTTGAAACTGTACTGGTAGCATAACAAGCAACATGTTGAGATACTTTCAAAGCTAAAGATCTATTGCAGGGATTTTTAGTGTAAATATCATTAAGTTTCTGTTGGACGACACTCTTCTCTAGCATTTGAAGCACAAACGTTAGGGGTTTGTATCATGTGATGGATATTGCTACATGTGATTATGCTTCAGTTGATCAAAAGAGGTTCTCTCTTGTGATCTTTATCAGGGGATTATTTTTCATCTAGACAGCCCATGTTAGGCTCCCTCAAAGTCTATTTTTAGTCCCTCTTGCCCACGGAATTTCATCTATAGATTTCATCGTTAACTTTAGAGGTCATCCCGTCTTCCATGTTTGGGTACCCCGATCCTTCCATTTCATATTTTATTTTGATCACCTTAGAACTGTGAAGTACTATAGAGACTTTTGGCTGCTCGCAATCAGTCGTGGCTATGTTGGTACATGTGGACTGGGTGCTACCCATGTACTCGTGGAGTGGATCGAAGGTGTGGATACCATAGTATTTCAAAAATTATTTTGTTACTATCAATTACAAACTTTGATGATTGCTGATGTTTGAATATTAGATGACTACCTCTTGTATATAAGCATGAAATGAATGATATATTATAATTGTTCATTGATGATTAAAGAACATAAATTTTTGTTCAATTGCCAGAAGACAGTCAACTTAACAGTGACTATGGACTAATTCTTTTTATAACTTCGATCATATTCAGTGACATTCGCGTCTTATTAGTTACGTATTTATTTATGTTATATGGAATACTTACCAGATACAAATATATGGGTATATCTGCATTTGCTTGAAGTGGATACCCCCAGTTTAATCGTTTATACTGTTTACAGATTTTTGTAATAACCAATAACAACCATGTAAAACTCTTTATGTGGTTGGCAAATATAAAATTTGTTATGGCCTTTCTGAAGGCATTTCAAGTTTGCATGTTTTTGCTATGAACCTGGGGCCAAAACTGTGACTGGTGTTTGAACTCAATCAGTAATTTGCTGCTTAAGGAATTATTTCCTGAGTGCACTATATAATGGGTAACTTCTCACAAGTGAAAATGGTGATTTGTGATCTTCTGATCATATGAGCAAACAATTTACTAATTAGTTTGATGCTAGTTCTGATGATTGTCACTTGTTCCTGTTGCCAATGGGTTGCATGGTGTAGTTAATGCACCTGGCGGATGCTAGAACTCATAAGTTACTTTATGGAGGGGTTGGACATAAGACTCTGCAGTAAAGTTTCCCCATTTAGTGGTTACCCAGATAATTTGTAACATTGGAATCTTCACATTCATAGCTTAGCATATTGAACATTCTTGGGACTCTCTGCAGGTTATGGGAGCATTTCCTCGCTGTGAAATAGTTGGAAGGCGATTTCCTATATGCCATGTACATGTGGATGATGCCATTGTGGAGGTTGGTACACTGTTTTCATGTAGTGGAAGAGCATAACGTGCATTGAAAATTTTGGATCTGAGCAAATTATGTATATAAGATTGATAACTGGGTTATGCGTATCTAATCTGGGGCAGGTTTCAAGTTTCAGCACAACTGGAAGGAAGTTTGGGAGGAAGTCAAAACCTGTCTTGCGAAAACCTTCTGGTTGTAATGAATGTGATTATATTCGATGGAGAAATTGTATGCAAAGGGATTTTACAATCAATGGGTACATATTTACCCTAGCACATAAGCATTTGCAATTGTGAAACCACAGTTTCTTTAATAAAGCCTGTATAACTCTGAACCAGATATGTCAATACTATAGGTTGATGTTTGACCCGTTTTCAAAGATCGTGTATGATTATATTGGTGGAATGGAAGACATCCAAAGAGCTAAAGTGTGCATTAATTCTTTCAGTTTAAGTTCCAACAAATACCATGATCATATTCATTTCAGTCATTTTACTTATTTTGTTGGTTGTATATAGGTTCGCTGTATAATCCCCGCAAACACTTCTTTTGTGGAAGATTGTGGTATGTTTTGTAGCTTCAATCCTCTGTTCTTACCTGGTTTACAAGTAATTTGTTGAGTGAAACATAAATGCCCTAATATGTAGTTGCTCTATGTAATTACCACATTTGACTCTTTTACACATTATATAGCTCGCATTCTGCGTGGGATTAGAATCGCTGCTCGTTTAGGATTTCGATTATCCAGAGAAACCTCTCATTTTGTAAAAGAATTGTCCAATTCGTTGCTAAGGCTTGATAAGGTATACCATTTTGTATTTGTCATATTATTCAGCCTTTAGCTCTATCACATTAGCATCCATTATGGTTGCTGTAGGGTCGGATACACATGGAAATGAATTATATGCTGGCATATGGATCTGCAGAGGCTTCACTAAGGTTACTCTGGAAATTTGGACTCCTTGAGATTCTTCTACCCGTCCAAGTATGGGGGTTCCCTTTGCCCACTAGAAAGTTACATTATGTATTGTTAGAAATCATTGGAATAATATGATATTGGCTTCATGCAGGCATCTTACCTTGTTTCACATGGATTCCGCAGACGTGATAAGAGATCTAACATGCTTCTGGTTAGTTTAAGGCGTTGATTCCTCTAACTGCTACTTTATAGTGCACTAGTGTATGTTTGTGAAGATCATGTTTGGTCAACCCTAGGTTATTAAATTGGAGGTGTCATAGGTACTGACAATTTGACTGCTATGAAGTAGCCTCGTAGCAAAATACAAGTGAAATGCTGCGTATAAAGACTTGCCTTGCATACAGAATTTCTTTTTCTTTTCTTTTTAAATTTCTAAACTACATCCAAATGTGACAAAAGTTATATCAAGTCCTGGTGAAGTTGCGTATGTGGTTTTTTGTCTACATTCAGCTATTATCTTTTTCCTCCATCTTCTACCGGACTGTGGAAAGATTGATACTCAGATGAGATCAATAGGATTTTCTAAGTCAAGCAGTATGGTTGCATAACATGTGTACCCTACTACTGGTGTTGCTGTTTTGCAGTCTTTGTTTGCTAGCTTGGATAAACTTCTAGCACCTGATCGTCCGTGCCACTCTTGCCTGTGGTAAGAAACATTTGGCATTGAATCTCTTTACCCATATGTATTAAATTCGTAGATTGAATGTTTAATGAATTCCATTATACTTCATCTTTATAATCTAATAACATGTAGCAGCATTCTGCGGCCATATTCTACTTTATTCATGCCGTCACATCACTGTTGAACTTGATATTTTTTTTCAATTTTATTGGTTGCTTCTACAGTTGTATTGGGGATAAAAACAATTTGATTTTTACAGGGTTAGTATCCTAGCATTTCATGAAGCATTGGTAGACCAACCTCGGGACGTTTTGGTGATTGCTGCGTTTAGCATTGCTGTTCACAGTGGTGGATCATTGTCTGAAGCAGTAGATATTGCAAGGGAGATCTCACAGCCTCATGACATGAGCTTCCATGAAATATCAGAACCTATTTGTTATTCAAAAGATGCATTAGTGGATGAGGTTATAAAACTTGCAGCTTCTGTAAAAGCTGCATTGCGGAGGCTGACAGATGAGCATTATGTTTCCCAGGCCCTGATCAAGTACCCCCAAGCCCCACAGTCGGATCTGGTGAGAACTCCTGTTGTCTTAAATTAGGTGATGATGTTGCCAATTTAACAAGAACTAATAAAAAAGTTGGTTTCCTGTGTCTCAGGTTTTCATTTCATGGTCTCTATCACTAAAGGTATGCTCTATGTTTGAGTGTGTTAAGAGGGTGAAGAATCGGAGGTTGATACCAAAAGAAGGAAGTGAAATTGACTATGATTCCTTGGCAATAGGTCGATTGCAGGAAGTTAGGAACGTTTTTGGTAGAGTTGTTTTTGACACCGTTTACCCTCTGAAGTTGGGTAGTTGAAATATGATGTATCTGGGCATGGTGGTATACATGAAAACAAGAAAGTGTTTGTATGGATGTAGTTGGTGGTCTTTTTCTTGATCAAAATCGTTTAATCTCATTATTAGCTGAATTACAACTACATTGGTCGATGGAAAATTATCAATATGTCCTTATTTGGTTATTTATTAAAATGGCCTCAGATACAATAAAAAACAAACTATGGACTGCACAAAATATCCATAAGCAAGCATGTTATAACTTTGATATTTGTATTCCATTCCACATGGAAATAAGAAAAGTCAACTGAGGAAACACAATAATAATTTGAAGAAAGTATTTGTGAAAAAAATAGAACAGAAGGTGGTGTTATTGGAACTTGAAAACACAATTTACCTTCATTTTTACTCTTTATCCTTTTTCTGTAATCTGCAATTATTATTAATAAAAACCTACGTAATTAACAAGTCTATTTTGTATTTGCATCATAAATTATGAATCTTAGATTGCACACATCTCGTTAGAGGGATGGACAATAAAGGAAAGATGGTATGTATGCATTTCTCAAATGTTAATCACTTCTCTCTCTCTCTCTCTCTCTCTCTGCTTCAACGGAGATCTCTTGCTGCTGCACTCATGGACCAGAGGCGGACTGCAAGTCCTGTTTACCCGCGCAAATGGAGTAGCGAATCTAGCACCATCGCCCCCGCTTCTTCATCTCCGGCACGCTATCACCACTCCCGTTCATCCTCCACCACTGGCATTTCCAACATCAAGCGCACTCAAAACGTCGCCGCCAAAGCCGCCGCTCAGCGTCTAGCCCAGGTCATGGCTTCTCGTGCCACCGACATTGATGCCGACGATGACGACGATGACGATGACGATGATCTTGACTTCCGATTTGCTCCTCCCTCCATAAACAGGAGGCCTCCCGTTAATGCTAACAAAGTTGCAACTACCGATGCTACCAGACCTTCCATTCCATATGCTACTAACAATTATAAGATCACTGGATCTCCTTCACCTACGGTAACCTCACTTGACTTTTTCATGTTTTTAAACTTCATTTCACCCATTTTGGTTTCTGTTGACTCAACTGCATCTTTTTGTTACAGGCTTGATTAGCGAGCTTTAACAATCTATGCTCTTTACGTGCCACTAAACTTGTAGCCAAACTGTGTCACGGAAAACAAATGACGTGAGATCTTTAAGTTAATAATGGCCGATGGTGACCGGAAAAACTCCATCTTTTAAATTCACTAAATTCTTTCACGTACTGGAAATTGGTATTTTATTCTCCTAGAGCTCAAAATATTGCCTCAAGGAACCATGCCTACTTGGTCAATTTTACGTTGGACCACATCACTGCTGAAAGTGGTATTCAACAAATTAGGAGCATAAGCTGTAGGTCCTTATCCAAGACTCTAACTTCTTAATTGGAAGACTCCTTGGAACAGAAAATGCCTTCTAAATTGTGATATATGCCAACTCTGAGAGTGAATTGATTTTATGTGGCTGCCTATAGTTATGTAGACGGGGTGAATCCATTGTGGTTGACAATTGGACCAAAGGAATACATAAAATGCTGGAGTCTCTTGTACAAAAATATATTCATGTAAGGGGGTGTAAAATATATGGAAGTCTAAAAGGGGGTGTGTTGGAGGCACATATTTGAACACCACATGCACAACACTCAGTTTCTTGTATAGATTTTCAACCATTTACCAATTACRTGACAAGAACTTCTGCATTCTGCAGTCGGTTAGAGAGCTTAAGTTACAAGAACTCTATGCASATCTTGCATGTTATCCTTCTGCATAAAAAAATATYMATACGAGGKAGCCTTTGAACTTACTCACCTTGTGTGGAAACAGACTATAGAAAGAGTGAAAGACAAATTCAACAMCTAGATAAGCATCCATAGTAGGTGCCAACTGAAGTCTGTAACTTGCATCAAATTGAAGGATGATCCTTTCAGCACCAAATGGATGTTATTCCGGCATAAGATAGCTCTCTAGCTGACCAATTTGGCTCTGTGGTCTCTTTGAACTAGAGCAGCTACATCAGGGTGTCAGTCCTATGAAGTTCTAAATTCGATAAAAAAGTGAAAGCTATATTACAGTTTTTTATGACCAACACACAGTCTTCATAAAGAAATATACTGCCATCTAACTGTCGAAAAGGTGGAAGCCCTGGCAAATGGCAATTTCATAGACCTGAACCTTGGGAATTTGAGCAACACCAAGGGTTGTCTTGATTATACTCTATTTATCAATGCCCAACTACGCATTCACCTTTTTTTTTCACTTGATGATAATGTATATACTAATTATAATTTTAGTTTTTCTCTTTACTTATTAAAGCCAAGCTGAATGCTATATGTTTTGTTTTGTTAGCTAGCTAGGAACAGTGTAGAGGAAAGTCAGCCACCTCTTTCAACACCATTGACTGGAAGGTCATCAAAATCAAATAGCATGCTGCCATTGGTACCACCAAGCAAAACATCTTTGAGGACCCCAATGACTATACCTCCTATTGATCCTCCTACCAAGAAGCAAAAAGACAAAAGGTAAAAGAGAAAAAAAAATTCTAACCCTTTCCTTTGCATCTAATCTTCTCTCAGGTGACAACTAAGATTTACTTAATATTTCATCGAGCAGATTTCAACAGCCAATGTGTGTATTTTTTTTAGTTTGTTCTGTCTGTTCAATATATCCTAGGATAGCAGCAATTTTATGGCCCGTTTGTGTGCTTAAAGACTATCTTAAACTAAAATTGCAGATTCCAGTTGGAAATTGGTGAAATTAACTTGAAAAGCACAGGAGATGGGCGAGAGGCTTCTGCACTTCATGATGAAGTATGCAATACAAAATTATTTTTTCATTAGTTTCTCTTTCTTAAGCTGCATATATGTTTATAGTGTTCTATATCAGATATGTAAAAAGATGATATTACAACTGATTATATTTATTGTTAACTTCTGCCATTTCATCAGCTTGATATGCTACAAGAAGAGAATGAGAATGTCCTTGAGAAGGTCGGTTCGTAATTTATATATTTTCCCTGATTCTATCTGTCACATGCCTACTGTGGTACCCTTGGTTTATATGGTCTCGATTTCAATCGGGCAGCTCAGGTTTGCTGAAGAAAGTTGTCAGGATGCAGAGACGAGGGTTAAGGAGCTTGAGAAGCAGGTCATATCCTTCTCATTTTCTATCGTACATTGGAATCTAGAAGGCACTTACAACTGAAGAGAAGGAAAACATAAAACAGCACCATTTTTTTCCTGACATGCGCATGCTATAATTATTTCAGTATGTTTGACATGTGTACTTGTGTAGGTGTATATCTTCTTTTAACTTATTAGCACACTTAGTAGGATTTATGCCTCTCATCTGCTTTGGCTGATACAACTTCTTCAGCCAAATTTATATTCTTTCTCCCTTTATTGTTGTTTTCTATTCACTTGCCTATTATTATTTTTCTTCTTCTTTTGTTTCTGATCAGCATCCACTAGCATGAACTCGATGCATTATATAATTTTTGTGATTTGGATTATGCTGAAAATGTGTTGAGTTTATGCCCTTGTTAGCTGTGTGTTCCAGCCAAAATTTTCTTCCATAACTACCCATTCTTAATATTTAACTGATTATTTAGGTGGCTGCTCTCGGTGAAGGAATATCTTTGGAAGCAAAATTGTTGAGCAGGTTAATTTTAGTGAACAAATATGTCTCCTACCAAGATGCAWTTATTTAGCTATGACAGTCTCTTCTAATTTTTTTCATTTTTTTGACGTATATATTATTTATTTACGGCAAATAAAACTCACACACTCCTAACCTTTCGTGAGGTTGGAACTCTTGACCTCTAGGAAGGTTGAGTTGCTGGATATCGCTGGGTTGATGGCCCTTTGGTTATTTGTTTTATTTTCTTGCGATCTGAAATCTCTTTCATGCCATAATTTGTGAATTTCCAATGTGTTGTAGGAAGGAAGCTGCATTGCGCCAAAGAGAGGTTGCTTAAATTGTTAAATGACTCTTATTCAGTATCTCTATTTCCTCATTTTATGTTCTGGAAGAGTTGAGTTTCCATGCCTTTCTAAGCTAAAAGTCACTCCCTTCCAACAGTTGAATATATTTACTTCTCACTATTGATTTATTTAGAAGACATCAATACTTCTACTATGACAGGCTGCACTTAAAGAGGSAAAAAAAGCTAAAGATGGAGTAAATGAAGAAGTTGTATCACTTCGCTCCGAAGTTAAGGTGAATCTTGCKTGTAAMATATGTATTCTATKRATGACTTTACTCYCTTCCTCCCAAATTCATAGTCTCTTGTCTATGAATGTTAAGAAGTGCCATTTAGACCTATAAACTAATAAACATATATTATCAATATAAGATTATATAATCTAAGGTGG